TTGAAGAAAACCTTAACAACAAAAAAAAACTTTCACGCGACTTCATCTTTTTCCTTGCGCTGCGGCTTGCAGATCACACAACAGCGCCGTTGCATGTCGACACGTGTCACCCCATCTCGCCACACTAAACATGCAGCAAGCTAAATAAATTAACGCACGAGGCGATTTCCATTTGCCTTGCTCCAAGGCGAGCTTAGTCATCCCTTTGAAAACACTGATTTTCATAAGGAATATGATCTCAATAGTTAAATATATCAACAATAAGAATCATGATTAACATTTTTTTTTTGGTCGGAATCGAGTTTCATTAAATAGAAGGTCAAAGCCAGATTACATCAAAATGAACTCAAATAATTGAGTTCAGACAAAATGCAATACAAACAGATATAGAGCCCACTACAAATAAAACTAACAAATGCATAAAGCACACATAAAGACAATAAACCCACATAAAGGCAAAGAGCCCACATAATGGCAAAAAGCCCACAAAAGGCAAAAGCCCACAAAACACAACACAACATTAGGAAACCCTAACACCAATAACAGGTATGTGCCGCACAATCCAACAACCACAAGCTGCGACACCAAAGCAAGCCGACAACCACTAAAAAGAAACCAATAACGAACATAAAATGGTGGTGAGCAAGCCACCCAAGCTACACCTAGTAGGAGTAGCGCTACCATAATCCAAGCAATAAGTGCTATTTGCACTTTAAGGGCATCCCAAACTCCATAAGTTCCACTGAGGATAAACAACGGAAGAAACATCCGTGGAGTCAAAAAGCCGATGATAGTGGTTAAGACCAAACGATGTGACGCAACCTTCAACATTGAGGAGAGAAAATGCATTGTAGAAACCTGTAAAGAGCACAGAAAGCTCGAAGACTCCAGGAAATGCACATATCCAACAAAACCACCCAGAACGACCAAAACCAATGGGCAATCCCTGGAGACGAAAAGAGCTCTCAGCAGCAGCCACCACTACAAGACCACATGGCAACTATAGATTGGGCAGACAACTGAATCCACTAAGACCAACCCCAGATCCCAGCGCAGGCTGGGAAGGGGAGGGAACTGGGTCAAAACAGGGGATTCAAATCCCAGATCTGCAAAAGAAACAAAACCAAATACAAAGGGCCAAAACCCAATTAAACCACCAAAACCCAACCACAAAACGCCCATCCAAATCAAAAGAAAAGGAAAAGAGAAATAGGAACAGGACAAAAAAGCAAAGGGGGGAGGAGTGGACTGGAAACTAGGAAGGATAATAAAATTTTAAATAAAATTCTGCTAGCTGATGTGCCACAACATCTTTTGATTTAGGGGCGCAAGTAGGAATGGAAATTCTAATTCTGACCGATTTTAATTAGAAAATTTCCGATTTTGGTGCATCCAAATTAATTCCAACATCCAAAAGTTTCGAAATCCGAAAATTGCGAAAAAAAAAAATTGGATTAGAATTGGAATGTATTTCAAGATTCCGAAAATTCTGAATTTTGAAATGTATTGAGGATTCAAGCTTAGACTACACATAATGACTAGTTTCATGTTGAATTTGATATGACATAATAACTAAATAGACATAGACGAGCTATTTCACAAAGGATAACAACACATAAGTGATAGCACATAATAGTTTTTCGAGCTTCTTCGTATGATTTTTCAATTTTTAGCCAATTTTAACCTTTCAAATTGTTAGACATGTTTAAAATTGTCAATGATTTTCCTAAAATTCCCCAAAAAAATTCGAAACATGTACCGAAATTTTCCTATAATTCAGAGTTTTTTTATTTTTGTTTTTTTATTTTATTTTTATAATTAGAATGGATGTTGAAATTTCAAATTTTTTTGGAACAGAATTGGAAAAGAATTGTCATTCCAAATTTTTTTGGAATGAATTTGGAATCCCCTAATTCCGATTCGATTAGCCCAAAAATCAGCCCTAATTGGATTAATAAGGATCCATATTTTAGAAAAACACAGGGTTTGGGTCACACTCTCGTTCACGCGAGGAGAGCCTTAACAGCTAAGGTTAGGGTTTCTCCAGTTTTCTTTACTCATTCTCTACGCCGTCTCTCTCAATCTTCTTTGATTGTCTCTTTGGGTTCTTCTTGATGAATTGGGTATAACGGTTTTTTTTTGCTCTTTTATTCTCCTTGGGGTGGCTATGTTGGCTTCCTTTTTGGGTTCCCAAGGAGCCAGTCGATGGTGAGGGTCTCCATCTTAATGCTATGGAGATGGCCACCACCTCTTCTGCTTAAGGGGATAACAAGTATGTGGCATCAAGAGGGAATCAAAAGCGTGCGAAAAATGGTGTTGGGTAGTGGCATGGATTTTTCTGGTAAGCATACTTTTTGTATCGAGGATTTTGTTGACAAGGCGGAGGAGACCAACTTTGAGGGGTTTCCAAGATCTCCCTAATAATTCTCCTATAGAACTCTGAATCCGGACCCTTGTTTAGTAGTGGCTATTTTTATAGGAACTTCTGCTATCAACTGTTTGGCATAACGTTCTTGTTTCATTTGCATTTGTGCAGATTTTAATTGAAATGATAATATCTACCGCATAAACCCTAGTTATGTAATATGAATTTATTGCATCGCATGGTTTCCCTATGATTCTTGCATGCTATCTCAATGTTGGTTGAATGGATAATCCTTTGCCTTTATTTACTTGATTTTTAATTTGAGGGAAGATAATAATGAGAAGAGAGATTTTTGCATTTGATAATTGAGCATATATGACCACTGGTGGACCCAGGAATTTTTCAAAGGATGTGCAATTTTTAAAGGCACAAGACTTGATCGATGAATAAGTTTTTATAAAGATAATTCTCTCCCAAAAAAAAAAAGAAAAAAAAAAAGAGACCTGGGGTGGAGGGGACGTTAAAAAAAAGATATGAATTTGATGTTTTATAAAGACTTTTTTTTATTTAGCTAAGATGTTTTATAAGGACTTGAAACGACTCCAAGGAAGACATGCATTATGCGAAGACAAATGACTACTTAGACTTCCACCTGATGGAGAAATTTTAAAGTCCAGAGACATACATTTAACCAAACGACTTGCATCTAGATCAACATCATTTTCCCAGCAAAACGACTTGACATACATTTAACCAAACGATTCAAGAGTCATGTTGTCTTGTCTTAGAACTTGGTATGCCAATTAATATCAGTAGCGTTAAACCATATTTCAATTTGCAAGCCTAATTGGCAATTCTTACAAGGAAACATCAATTACGTCCAACATCCGACATTGAAAAAATTACACACATCAATTACATTTGCTCACCATGAAGAATCTTAGCTAGTGACACGGTAAGAATTCGTATTGTTTGCAAATAATCAACTCAGTTTTTCATTTATGTTTACATTACATGATAAGACAATTTTAGCTATCGTGTCACGTGATGAGTGATATAGGCACAAATGTGGATTACTAAGCAGATTCTTTCTTACAAGGGTTTCCATCGAATTCAATGGTTCCAAGATTTGAAAGACGACAATTATCAAGACAAGTTAACATTTTGGTATCCCCACTATGAAAATTCAAGTTGCGAATTAGTCAAGTTTGGTTAAGACAAAATGAAAAGCTTAGGTCCACGTTGTAAAGAAGTCGACAATGTAAGTCAAAATACCTGGCTACTTGTGAGATCATCATGGACAGGTTTTCTCCTTTGACGCTATAACGGGTGACGAAATGTAGTGGCATAAGTTTCCCACAATGAAAATTTAACTTACGAATTAGTCAAGTTTGGTTCAGCTTTTTTCCTATGATGCAGCTATTGATTGATAACGGGTGACAAAATGTAATGGCATAAGTTTCCTACAATGCGTGCTCCATCAGTGGAATATATTGCCATCATCAATTACATTTGCTCACCATGAAGAATCTTAGCTAGTGACACGGTAAGAATTCGTATTGTTTGCAAATAATCAACTCAGTTTTTCATTTATGTTTACATTACATGATAAGACAATTTTAGCTATCGTGTCACGTGATGAGTGATATAGGCACAAATGTGGATTACTAAGCAGATTCTTTCTTACAAGGGTTTCCATCGAATTCAATAGTTCCAAGATTTGAAAGACGACAATTATCAAGGCAAGTTAACATTTTGGTATCCCCCTATGAAAATTCAAGTTGCGAATTAGTCAAGTTTGGTTAAGACAAAATGAAAAGCTTAGGTCCACGTTGTAAAGAAGTCGACAATGCAAGTCAAAATACCTGGCTACTTGTGAGATCATCATGGACAGGTTTTCTCCTTTGACGCTATAACGGGTGACGAAATGTAGTGGCATAAGTTTCCCACAATGAAAATTTAACTTACGAATTAGTCAAGTTTGGTTCAGCTTTTTTCCTATGACGCAGCTATTGATTGATAACGGGTGACAAAATGTAGTGGCATAAATTCCTACAATGCGTGCCCCATCAGTGGAATATATTGCCACGCGACTGACTAAATTGGCATTACCCTACAAAAAAGAGAAATTCTAACTCCGTCACGATTTACAAATTACTTTCACAAATCATATACGCACCAAATTGTTTCAATTTCGCCAATTTATTTGAATAGAATTACATTGATCAAAATAAAAGCAAGATATTTCTTCGACAAATTGTAAACTTCAAATTAATAATTAGCTTTTTTGCTATACTTATATTTTTCTTAGGAAAGGGTATCCAAATTTTTGGCATCTTCTAACATTAGAAAGAAAAGTACCACTACATTAAGATTGGGCTACTTGGTTTCGATACGTACTATCATTATATAAACCCATGCAATTCCTTAGACAAATCTCATCTCTTGTATCTGTAAAAGGATTAAAGACTAAGGTTAAAGAAGTCTAATGACTCTCTCTCTCGCATCTTTATAACGTTTACTATTACATAATTCTATCTGCAACATAGAAACCACAACCTCAATCCGTCCATCTCTCTCTCCAGCTCTATCTCTCTGTCTCTCTCTCAACTATTCCTCTCCCTTCCTCACTTCGATGGCCATAGTTGACCTCAGAAGGTGCTTCAAACTCTGGTATTCTTTTGTGGTGCCTTTGCTACACATGAGTCCTTCAATAAATGTATACATAGAGAGGGAAAGACAAGCCCTCCTTGCATTCAAACAAGGCCTCGTCGTGGATACCCGCGGTCAAATAGTCTCTACATGGGGCACCTCAGAAGGCCAAAACAAAGATTGTTGCACGTGGAAAGGAGTCTATTGCAGCAACCAAACTGGCCAGGTTGTTGAACTTCAGCTTGGATCCCAATCTTTGCAAGGTACGATTAGTTCTAATTTAAATGATTGGCTTGCTGCAGCATGACTTTAACTACGTACTATATATTACTAATTATATATGCAGAAAAGCTATGTAATAATTAAAGTAGTTAATTAAGAAGCTCCTTAATTAATTAAACAAAGTTTATGTAGACTCTTTATTTAATGACTTTTTAAGGACTGCAGGTTCAGCTATGGATGTTTGGGGCAACATGAGCTCTCTTTGCAGTCCTTAATCTCACTGATAACCAACTTGAAGGAGACATAACAAATTCGTTTTCGGAGCTATGCAGTTTGAGATCATTAGGGCTTTCAAACAATAATCTCAGTGGAGAATTTCCCAAGTTCGTTCAGGTATTGTCTAAATGTTCTCAAAAGCAACTAGAAGGTTTGTATCTCTCTAACAACCGAGTAAGCGGAAAAATACCTGAAAGCATTGGGCAAATATCATCGTTGACAGAATTATCTCTCTATGGAAATCAATTAAGCGGAAGAATACCTGCAAGTATTGGGCAAATGCAATTATTGACACGATTATCTCTCTACGGAAATCGATTAAGCGGGAGAATACCTGAAAGTATTGGACAAATGTCCAATCTGGTGTACATCAATCTTGGTAAGAATTCTCTGGAAGGGGTGATTTTTGAAACTCATTTTTCAAAACTCTCCAAGTTAAAATATTTGGATTTATCCTCCAACTCACTGGTTTTAAACTTCCATTCTGATTGGGTCCCTCCTTTTCAATTGAGTGTCATAATATTGAGGTCTTGCAAGATGGGTCCATATTTCCCACAGTGGCTTCAAACTCAGAAAAATTATTCATCCCTTGATATCTCTAACACTACAATTTCTGACATCATTCCAAGTTGGTTTTGGGGTTTGTCACGTACAGCTGTCCTTATAAATCTCTCCCACAACCAAATTAGAGGAACATTTCCAAGTTCAACAATGGAGTTTGCTTATTCCCCTAAGCTAAATTTTAGTTGGAACCAACTGGAAGGTCCAATTCCTTCATTTCTGTCAAAATCATCATCTCTAGATCTATCC